TGAGCTCGTAAGGTTGTCATGTGTAACCGCCTGAATCGTGCTTGTTCAAAGATCAGGATTGTGAATAAACGTGTTAAATAAAAGAAAAAGCTTGACATTACCTGGAAAATAACTTCTTCGTTCCAACTGATCCGTTTACACCGTGTACTATAAACACGAATTCAAATCTTACGTGTACAATTTACATCATTATTTTATTTGAAATTTTACTTTGGTTGTGTTGGGTATATCGCGATGTGAACAGTCGAGATCATTTTGAGGCAGGGTATCCTTGTAATAGCGCGTGGCGACCTCACTAACCAACATACGGGAGGTCCGTCGCATGCCGTCCAGAACAACAACGGTAAAGTGTCTTGACCTCTGACACGACCACACAGACTGGTCTGTTTCTAAGCTTCCTGTGAAAGTCACGAGTAGTGAAAACCGAACCACGCACCTCGTTTTTTTTACACCCTAGGTTACGTAATTTACATTTACATTTCAAAGACTATATAACTGTAGATATGAGCGTTACGGAGGTATATGCTGGTACATAAAATCTATCTCATAAAGTCAACAGTAAGATTAACAATACAATGTGGACAATCCAAATACTAAAAAATCTTCTGTTAATCAAGTTTTCCTCATAAAATCAAAATTAAAAGTTGAAAACTAACAAAAAACGACTATGAGTATTTTTGGTAATAACGTAATGTTATCATATGAGCAAACATAAAAAGTGACGTTGTGCTATTCCAGAAAAAAAGTACGTGGGTCTGTTACAGTGCGTGTACTCGTAGCCTGTACAACAATATAGGTATTTCTCTCATAAAGTATTGCTTAAACGAGAAATTTCGTTCAGTTAAACAGGCTGTTATCGGAGTATGATGGAACGGATAAAATATTGTTGTATATATAGGTGGTTGGTGGTGTACACATTTTACACTTCTAGATGGAAATATGAATTATTGATAAAATCAGTCCCAGATCTATTCCTGGACCGACTTACTTCGGTAAAGCCAGTGTTAATTAGAAGGTCAGGTCAACACTCCTGATACATGCTGAGGTATATTTACATGTATATTGATATATAAGTACACATGTGGTGGGCGGTCACATTGCAAACTTACCTGTCTTCAACTTGAATACTTTTACTCCAAAGAAGAGACATTGACTTTTAGTACTGTCATCTAATTTCAAATTGACTTTTGAAGTTGTTTTTGTTTTGTTTGTTTGTTTCAGTGTTTTGTTGGTTTTTCTTTTCGTTTTTGTGTGTGGTGTGTTTGTGTTTTTCTTTTTTTCTGTTTTTTTTTTTTTTTGTTTTGTTTTGTTTTAAATATATATTTCTTGCTGTCGTTGATGTAATTTTGTTTATTTGTTTTCTGCGAATCCCGTCGTCGCAGTTATGTGATCAGTTAGCATGTAATTCAAACAAATACAATACATATTTGACCATTGTCCAGGCGAATCTTATCTATGTACATATATTTGAAATTTGGATTTATATTTAATATGTTTCGCCGCTCTAAGCTTTTACCTTTCACTGTATCTTAATGGGGAGTGTAGAAATTCAGTGTCTGTCGTATTTTTATTTGTTTTGTTAGTCATTCAGGATTGCGAAATCAGTATCCCACACTGTATCTATTATAATACACCAGCTGACCAATAGACATTGTACGTCGGCCGGTATCGAACTTATCTTGTTTATCTAGGGCCGAACTGATTAGCTCCGCGCTTTGAATGACAATGTAGTTCATTTTTAGCTAAAATCCCATGGAGATATTTCATGTGTTTATATTATGTCAGATCAATTCATTATGATTTTGTTATAAATTTGCTTTCTAATCAAACTATTAAATTGCGTTCATTTAAATTTATTCGTTTTTTAATTAGGTCGGGCTTCTTCAATCACTTTAGGTTTTGTCCTACGAACCAGCCCCCATACCGCTGGCTTTCTCAAAAATTACTACAGTGTGTACTAAGATCGGAGCAACAGCTCAAAGATATCATTTATATGAACAACACTGGGTGTATAGTGTGTAGTGGTCATCAGTCCACGATACTTCTATCTCTACATTGTAACATGTATAGTTATTATCTCTCAAGTGTTATTGGAATCATACTTATACGGAATATCGTTAAATATTGAACCACTTAAAGTGTTTTATCCCGACTTGACTTAAATCTCCCCGGTAGGTAATCGCACAATAAATTCAGTGTATCTAGGGCTTACCCTTTATAGTATATAGTTGAAGAAACACTAGATCCCACCGTTGACAGGATACTTGAAGGCATTAGATAAATTTTTATAAATAAATACGAAAAAAGATAGGATTTACTCAATGAGCATGCGTGTGTATCTTGATCTCAAGCAGCATGTACTGCCTCGAATACTGATAAAACCACATACAAAGTGAAGATATCTTATATAAGGGATGCTTAACCACAGGAAAAATACACCCCTGTTCTTTTGAGCAATAGAGAACGGGGACCATTATTGTCACTGATGACAAATCCTTCAGTGTTGATATTGAGGACCATCATTGTCACTGATGACAAACCCTTCATTGTCGATATTGGGGATCATCATTGTCACTGATGACAAACTCTTCAGTGTCGGTATTGGCGACCATAATTGTCACTGATGACAAACCCTTCAATGTCGGTATTGGGCAGAATCATTGTCACTGATGACAAACCCTTCAGTGTTGGTATTTGGGACCATCATTGTCACTGATGACAAACCCTTCAGTGTTGACATTGGGGTACCATCATTGTCACTGATGACAAACCCTTCAGTGTCGGTATTGGGGGACCATCATTGTCACTGATGACAAACCCTTCAGTGTTGATATTGGGGACCATCATTGTCACTGATGACAAACCCTTCAGTGTCGGTATTGGGGGACCATCATTGTCACTGATGACAAACCCTTCAGTGTCGGTATTGGGGGACCATCATTGTCACTGATGACAAACCCTTCAGTGTCGGTATTGGGGGACCATCATTGTCACTGATGACAAACCCTTCAGTGTCGGTATTGGAGGACCATCATTGTCACTGATGACAAACCCTCCAGTGTTGGTATTGGGGGACCATCATTGTCACTGATGACAAACCCTTCAGTGTTGATATTGGGGACCATCATTGTCACTGATGACAAACCCTTCAGTGTCGGTATTGGGGGACCATCATTGTCACTGATGACAAACCCCTTCAGTGTCGGTATTGGGGGACCATCATTGTCACTGATGACAAACCCTTCAGTGTCGGTATTGAGGGACCATCATTGTCACTGATGACAAACCCTTCAGTGTCGATATTGGGGACCATCATTGTCACTGATGACAAACCCTTCAGTGTTGGTATTTGGGACCATCATTGTCACTGATGACAAACCCTTCAGTGTTGATATTGGGGACCATCATTGTCACTGATGACAAACCCTTCAGTGTCGGAATTGGGGAATATCATTGGCACTGATGACAAACCCCTCAGTGTTGGTATTGGGGGACCATTATTGTCACTGATGACAAACCTTTCAGTGTTGGTAATGGGGACCATCATTGTCACTGATGACAAACCCCTCAGTGTTGGTATTGGGGGACCATCATTGTCACTGATGACAAACCCTTCAGTGTTGGTATTGGGGGATCATCATTGTCACTGATGACAAACCCCTCAGTGTTGGTATTGGGGGACCATCATTGTCACTCACAAATGACAAACACTTCAGTGTCGGTATTGGGGACCATCATTGTCACTGATGACTAACCCTTCAGTGATGGTATTGGGGGACCATCATTGTCACTGATGACTAACCCTTCAGTGTTTGGTATCAAAATTCCTTCGTACCTGGTGAGGGGTGTTGTTGATATTGGTTTTAAAACTGTTGTTTTTGGAACATTATCATTGTTATATAAGAATGAGTTAATTAAAAATGTTTTATGTACCGTTGACAACTTGTCAAAGGGAACATCAGCTTTCAATTTTGCTTTACAACACTAATTAAAATGTATTAAATCTGAGTGTCATCTAGGGAAGCTGTATGGAAGGATAAGGCAGAGACACATATTAAGTAACATATTTTATAACCAATGATAAATGTGAAGGTCATTTAGAAATGGATACCTACAAAGATCATCTGTCATTCAGTTCTCCAGTAAACATTACACTCTGTCTTGTGAGTTTCGGCGATGTGGAGGTATAGCGTTCCGTCTGACTGGTCACTGGAGTGCTTGAGTGGATATTTTCCTATGTTAAATATTCTGTGTACACACATAGTAATAGTATTTATATTTATGATGTAGAGGGGCAAAGCCGGAAAATATTTCAAACTTGTCAACATAGACATTTTACACACATTCCCAATAGAGGGGAGGTTGACACAGGTAAACTAGAATGCACAGGTAAAAACCAGGTAAAAAAAAACAAGCGAGTCACCTGACGACCCACTCCGTCACGCAGGTCTGTCCTCAAACGTCTGTTTCATAAGTATACACAGATTTATTATCATCAATATATTTTTATTTTAAGACTTTGGAAAAATGTATAAAAAATGTGTAAACGTATTACCAGACCTACCACTTGTCAGATTTACTCTTATGGTTTAACAACACAAAGATAGTGTACTATTACACGTGGATTATTTCGGATACAGAACTGTGTGGCATACCCAATTAACAACAAATGATCTACCTGTACTGCAATTAACACGTGACTGCTGCAATCATGTGTAGTGAGGAAGTGGGACGGAGAGAAGATAGCACAGGTAAGACGTGATAGGACGAGTCATCTCTCTGCCGTCTGTCTGCATGCCCTTACACATACCAGCCCTCGGGACCGTATATGCTAATGAGATTCGTCAAGTGACTGAGGGTAGATACGGTAAGGAGAGGGACTCATGTGATTCCGTAATTATCGTTTGTCCAATGAGAGACAATGCCGAACAGAACGTGGCCGTACTAAGTGACAGCCCTTCGTAGGACTAATTCATTCATGTTTGTATATATACATACTATAATGTATATAGATGGCGGACTAACGTGGAGGAAGAGAGTGCTGTCTCAGTCTCGCTGTGTGTAACCCCGTGTATCATCAGTTGCAGAAGGAACGAAACAAAGCATAGCAGACGACACAACAAACGTCACGCTAGTTTTGTTTCTGGGAATCAAAAACCATGGAAGATTTCCTTCCACTGTGGTCCAGCCTAGAACGTGAGCAGTACACGTTACAACGGTTGAATTCGGCAGGTGAGGAAACGGACGGTAGCCATGGTGATCAAAGAAGCTGCAGCCCTTCCAGCGTGTGGAGTCTGGAATCCATGGATGACGAGATGTACCTGGAATATCTTTTTTCTCAAGGATTAGCGGATTCTATGGATAAAACGGGACATGTGACTTCTGATATTGCGGAATTTGATATAACATCGGTACCTGCCTCTCCCACGAATACTATTAACATAAGTACTAGTGCCAAAATACCGATCGTGCACTGCGACTCATTTGTCAGTGCTAGTTCATCATCATTTATAGACAGTGCTGGTTCCGATACATCCGAAGACAGTTCGTGTGATGATGTGTTTTCTAATTTTCCGACTACTAGTAATGATAATTCTGAAAAAGAGTTTGTGGTTCTAGGAGTAGGGCTACAGAATTTAATGCATTCTTACGCCGCCAAAGCCGTGCCAACACAAGGCCAAGAAATATCCATAGATTTTCCAAGGAAAACACAAATAGTGAACAGGTGTAATCGGAATTACCTCACGAAACCCGGATATTCCTTCTCATCTTCAGGTGCTTTATTAACTCAAACTAGTCTATTAGACCCAGCAAAAATACGATCCATCAAAGCACAGTCGTCCAAAACATTAGGCATTAACAAAGACAAAATTGAGGAAAAGATATATCATTGTACTTACGCTGGCTGTAACAAAGTGTATAGTAAAAGCTCACACCTAAAGGCTCACCTGCGGAGACACACCGGTGAGAAACCTTTCGAGTGCACATGGTCAGGTTGTGGTTGGAGGTTTTCGAGGTCAGACGAATTGGCCAGACATAAACGATCTCACTCTGGAATCAAACCTTACCAGTGTAAGCTATGTGACAAACGTTTCTCCCGTTCTGACCACTTGTCAAAACACCTCAAGGTGCACCGTAAAAGGTAGGCTTTCATACCATAATAGTTCTGTACACAAATGAATAGTTCTGTATACAAATGTTTGCACGTATTTAATCAAGCTCACGATTTTCATAACGCATATGAAATACAACTGCACTCGACACGCGCCAACTCGCACCAATTCTTTTCATAATGCAATATAAAGCACAAGTTGGTTTTCTTTCTATTCGATAATACTAACGTACCATTCCTTACCAGCAATGCTATATAAAGAATCACATTTCGTTACAGCCCACATTATGTAAGCATATAGCACGATTCGTTATCAGCAAATCCATGCTTTGAAAACCGATGTACTTTTCCTTCATTTATTTTTTTGTCACGCCATTAAGCCTGCAACTGAAAGTATCGCAATTCGTTTAAACCCGCCTCATTAACACGTTCGCGCCATTCTCTCACGTGCCATGTGTAAAACGTGTATATATCTATTACTGCACACACTCATTTTCAAGGGCGGAGATCTAGAGTTCTTATTGTTGGTTCATTTCGTGCCCTACAGCTTATTATTGTTCATGTTCGTGTACAGTGATACTCTGCTGCAGAAATTCGTCTCATCTTCCAACAGTTTCATGATCGACCGAATTCTGGCCAACAGCGTAGTCCTATACACGATACCAGTAAGATCCCTGATGTTAATTCTCTCAAACAGTTCCTGATTTAATCTATGGAATCAACGGAAACGCGTGTCGTATTTGTTTTTAATTCTCGGAAATAAGTGGTCGCTCTTAATCAGATCCATTAGACAACAATAGGAAACTGTTTCCTATTTGTTTTCAGCATCCGTATTTGTTTAGATGCTTTATGCTGACAAAAAGTAAAAATAATTTTAGAGAAATTTTCCATGCTTAAAGTTAGACTGTTGTTTTGGTGGCGTTGGTTGCAGTGTTTCAGTCAGTACTGTGTTATAGCAGTAGAACGCCCTATATCCGGTACTTATGTATAAACCATTGCTTCAACTCTCCTTTCAGACAATTAACGTTAATATGACCAAAGTACAATTTCATTGATGTCGTCACGACAGCCTCGTCATAGGATACATACACTTAATAAATATGTAAGCTTGTTCCATCTAGTGAACACTCCAAAGTGTTTTAGTATAATTACAAACTTTTTTTTATGAAAATGGTTTGTTTTGTATTCCATGGTATATAGATAAACAAGAAATATTCTAAAACATTGTTGATGTTACACAAGAACATTAACGAGAATTTCCGGGATTTTGTCGTTAACAACATAGATACGAATCCGTGTGATTTATAATAGGATTTTTTCTGTATTGTGTTTTGCCGATGACATTGAATGTATTTTATTCTCTAATGCATGTGGAGGTATTTAACTAAATAGGCTTTTCTGTGTTGATGTGTTACAGGCAAACGTCGTAGAAAAACGTACGGCTCGACGCGCTGGCGTGTACGGGCCATCGATCGAGTGGGATAAAGATAGATTCAAACTGAGCCATACCGTGGGGAGATCGAACCACTTGGGGTAACGCCTGGCCCGACCCTCAACCTCACAGAGAAAGGTCATTTCGACATCGGCGCGGTGAAATCAGCTATACATGTATAAATCGACTCAAGACTGAGGATATATCAAAGCAGATGCAGGTGTAATATATCTTAGCTGGAGACAGTGGTGTTTTAGACTGGAGAACGATAAACAAACACAACTGAAGTCGTTTGCATTGCATGATCAATGAGGGTTAATCAATAGCCAGTGAATGGACGAGTTGTAAGGTTAGGAATACAGGCATGACTGAATGGGAGAGCTCTATGTTCACACTGCCACAATACCTCTCCCCTAAATAGACACCAACAAATGCGGGTTCATTTAAGCACATTCTCCAACATATCGAGGTTCATGTACCTAGAACATCAACAAATAACGATTCGCGGAGCTCACAACAGCCTCAAATGGTTCACGACCGTACACTCTGCACGAAAGACGTTTTAAAAATCCCAAACCCTAACGAAATGACCGTGGTTCAACCAAGCACACCACTGGAAAGTGTTTCTAGAATTGTGACGTATAAAAAGCAGATGTGTGTTATACATGTGCCATGAAAAGAGCCCGAGGGCTGGAATTCCTCGTATGTAAGCTGACGTACATAAACCGACGCCTGTAAGAGGCAGCTTGTGACAGGTATTATAATAAATTATGCGGGAACTTAGTGAAACTACGGTAATTCCCGTGTCAAAAAAATAACAAAAAACAAAAAATAAAATCACGTGATGATAAATAAATCTTATGTATGGAGTGGATGTGAACTAAAAAGTGCTATACAAATAGACGAGAGTGAAAGTCGTAATCCCTGTGTCAAAAAAATATTTCGTTTAGTTAGTGTTTACCAAATTAGGCGAACATGCGCTTTATGTTATTTGGTCAGTCTTTTCTTGTATGGACAATTAAGAACGAACCAATTGGTGATACTGTATTGAAATGTATATATATATACGTGCAACAGATAGTAACACTGATAACCGCATGCGCTTGATCAAAGGTACGGATTACCGTACCAGCCTCCGGCCGGACCAAAAGTCCAGCCGGGGGTGGGAAATCAAAGTCTTCCTTGCGATAGCTGGGACGAGATAGAGAGAAGGAAATTATCTAAACAGAGATAAATATGGGGTACGCTGAGAGATACAAAGGACAAATATATTCACGATAACCAGGGCTATTGCATGTTGAAACAAGCCCTGAATGTTACACTTGTTCCCAGGGTACCATCCCTTTGCAAGCCCTGTAACTGGTTGTCAATCTGTTCCGGGTAAACCATCCCGGTACACGCAGTGTAACTGATATAGACATCTGTCCCTCGATATCATCCCCTTATGGGTCGTGTAATTGGTTGTTTCCCTTGTCCTTGATTGACCATTCTTTTACTACATGCCATGTAACTGAGTGTTACACCGGTACAGTAGTACCGTCTCTTTACACCCCGTGTAACTGATTGTTACTCCTGTCAAGCGTTACCATCAGTTTTCACACGTCACACCTGTCTCGAGGTACCATTCCTTTACCCGCCGTGTAACTGATCGCAACACCTGTCCCGAGGTAACCATACCTTTATAGGCATTATAACTTATTGTTACACTCGTTCCGGGAATACCATCCCTTTGCACACCGTGTAACTTAATTTTACACCTGTCACGGGATGAAGATCTCTCAACACGTGGCGTTACTGATTTCCGTACCTGTCACGAGATACAATCCCTTTACACGCCGTGTAATTGATTGCTACACCTCTGTCCGCGGATAAAAATCGCTTTACACGCGGTTACCCGCGGTTGTTCATAATTACTTATTATTTAATACTCCTCAAAAAGAAACTCCAAGAAATAATGTGATAATTTGTTAATATTGAGAATAAACATTGACCCATGATACTTAACATTCCGTTCATTATTAACGTGTGTCTCTTCACATTCCCGTCTGCAATCCCTGAGTGGCAACGTACATAGACGATACTGCCATATAACACAGGGCAATCATACTCCATAGTTGATTTGTTGGGGACGACATGTCTCAATGTGCGATTCTTTATAGGATGAGATTTTTTTAGCTATACTGGAGCATCAGAATAAATGATACTTATTTTTTATGTACATATATATGTTCTACAAAGTTTGAAGAGGACATTATATAGAATATATTGATTGTTTTTCTTGACGACTCTTTAACCATCCAATTTACGTACAATCCGTCAATTATTGTTGAAATATAAGATACTGTTAACACTTCTTGTTTTTGTTTTTTATTGTTGGTTTCACGTGAGTTTAATCACTTAAAATCATCTAAAACAGAAAATACAATCTTGCTCATCAATTTATACAGGTCTTTGTATGCCATATATAGATTGATCTTGGTCCATGGATACATGAAAACGTATATGTCTGTAACCAAGGATACCAAATAGGTATGTACTTCACCATGAAAACTGGAAAACCAAAACATTATTCCTTGACCACGGAAACCTAAAAGGTTTGTTCTTGTCAAGTATACCAAATAGGTATGCCCTTGACCATGGAGGCCAATGTGGTTAATGCTTGGTTTCGGAAACAAATCATGCATGTCCTTGACCATGATACCCAATGTGGTTAATCCTTGGTTTCGGAAACAAATCATGCATGTCCTTGACCATGGAGACCAATGTGGTTAATCCTTGGTTTCGGAAACAAATCATGCATTTCCTTGACAATGGAGACCATTTATTTCCATTGATGAGATAGGGAAATGAATTAAAAATGTTCTTTGAATTTCTACATAATAGATAATGTTCACATTTTCCGATTCAGTTATGGTGATATATTTTGAATTCCTATCATTCGTTTGGCAAGTCCAAATTTCTGGGTATAGTGGTTTGAGACCGTAACAATTCAGTGAACATGAAACTTGAGAGGTGCTTTACATACACTTAGGAAAAAAGTGAAGCAATCATGTTTGGAAGAAATGGAAGACGCTTATCCTACCTAAACACCTGGTATTATTCTACTCTATTTTGTCCAAAGTTTCCATGTAAATCATTCCTTTGTTTATATTTATCCTCGTTTTGTTTATTGAATGAGTTCATTCAGGTATGTCGATATTGTCGTCGTATTTTTATGCTCCGCAATGTTAAGGGGACGGGGCAGATATTGTTACCCATGCACGGGGTTCTGATGTCAAGGTCGATTTCCATGTCACAGATTACTAACAATAAGACGCTTTTTAGTTTCCACACAAGCCGGAAACAAAAATACATTTTGAACTGATTGACTGGGATATTGTTATCATATAATGTGTTTTGGTGTAAGTAGATAATAATGCCTGGCAATAATGGCATCCTAGAAACGTACACCTGTTGTTTATTTATGTTTGTTGTTCAAGTCTTGGTCTGGCACTGTGAACAGCAGTCAGAGGTAGCGTCGTCACATAACTATAAGACTCACAATGATATAAATAGATACGAGGAAAGACTTCTGCAATCGAAAACAATGATAAAAATAAGAAAGTTCAACAAGTGTAATTAATTAAATACGTTTCCTTTTTATTGGTTTTGAATGTGAAATCAGGCAGTGTTAATTTGCAGACACCATTTGTGTGAAGTTACAGATTGAATACTTATTGAAAAGACAAGTCACATTTAGATTAAGCAATCATAACCACATTATTTCACTGAAGTACACCTATTGGGGAGTAATTGAAAATACATGTATTGCTATAGTAAGGTGCAACCGTTCCCGGGGGAACTCATACAGGCGATGTATTATATACTGGGGGAGGAAAGTGACAGAGGATATAGTGGGGAGGGACAGTGATAGATTATATAGTGGGGAGGGACAGTGATAGATTATATAGTGGGGAGGGACAGTGATAGATTATATAGTGGGGAGGGACAGTGATAGATTGAATAGTGGGGAGGGACAGTGGGAGATTATATAGTGGGGAGGGACAGTGGGAGATTATATAGTGGGGAGGGAGAGTGAGAGATCACATAGTGGGGAGGGACGGTGAGAGATTGAATAGTGGGGAGGGGCAGTGAGAGATTATATAGTGGGGAGGGACAGTGGGAGATTATATAGTGGGGAGATTGAGTGAGAGATCACATAGTGGGGAGGGACAGTGAGAGATTATATAGTGGGGAGGGAGAGTGAGAGATTATATACTGGGAAAGGAGAGTGATAGATTATATACTGGGGAGGGAGAGTGAGATATTATGTAGTGGGGAGGGACAGTGAGAGATTATATAGTGGGGAGGGACAGTGGGAGATTATATAGTGGGGAGATTGAGTGAGAGATCACATAGTGGGGAGGGACAGTGAGAGATTATATAGTGGGGAGGGAGAGTGAGAGATTATATAGTGGGAAAGGAGAGTGATAGATTATATAGTGGGGAGGGACAGTGAGAGATTATATAGTGGGGAGGGACAGCGATAGATTATATAGTGGGGAGGGAGAGTGATAGATTATATAGTGGGGAGGGACAGTGAGAGATTATATTATGGAGAGGGACAGTGAGAGATTATATAGTGGGGAGGAACAGTGAGAGATTAGATAGTGGGAAAGGAGAGTGAGAGATTATATAGTGGGAAAGGAGAGTGAGAGATTATATAGTGGGGAGGGACAGTGGGAGATTATATAGTGGGGAGGGACAGTGAGAGATTATATAGTGGGAAAGGAGAGTGAGAGATTATATAGTGGGGAGGGACAGTGGGAGATTATATAGTGGGGAGGGACAGTGAGAGATTATATAGTGGGGAGGAACAGTGAGATATTATATAGTGGGGAGGGACAGTGACAGAGTATATAGTGCGGAGGGACAGTGACAGATTAGATAGTGGGGAGGGACAGTGATAGATTATATAGTGGAGAGGGACAGTGACAGAGTATATAGTGGGGAGGGACAGTGACAGATTAGATAGTGGGGAGGGACAGTGATAGATTATATACATGGGAGGGACAGTGAGAGATTATATTATTTAGAGGGACAGTGAGAGATTAGATAGTAGGGAGGGACAGTGAGAGATTATATAGTGGAGAGGGACAGTGGGATTTTATATAGTGGGGAGGGACAGTGATAGATTATATAGTGGGGAGGGACAGTGAGATATTATATAGTGGGGAGGGACAGTGAGATATTATATAGTGGGGAGGGACAGTGAGATATTAGATAGTGGGGAGGGACAGTGAGATATTATATAGTGGGGAGGGACAGCGATAGATTATATACTGATGAGGGACAGTGGGAGATTATATAGTTGGGTGGGACAGTGAGAGATTATACAGTGGGGAGGGACAGTGAAAGATTATATAGTGGGGAGGGACAGTGAGAGATTATATAGTGGGAAGGGACAGTGATAGATTATATACTGGGGAGGGACAGTGGGAGAATATATAGTGGGGAGGGACAGTGAGAGATTAGATAGTAGGGAGGGACAGTGAGAGATTATATAGTGGAGAGGGACAGTGGGAGATTATATAGTGGGGAGGGACAGTGATAGATTATATACTGGGGAGGGACAGTGGGAGAATATATAGTGGGGGGACAGTGAGAGATTAGATAGTAGGGAGGGACAGTGAGAGATTATATAGTGGAGAGGGACAGTGGGAGATTATATAGTGGGGAAGGACAGTGATAGATTATATACTGGGGAGGGACAGTGGGAGAATATATAGTGGGGAGGGACAGTGAGAGATTAGATAGTAGGGAGGGACAGTGAGAGATTATATAGTGGAGAGGGACAGTGAGAGATTATATAGTGGAGAGGGACAGTGAGATATTATATAGTTGGGTGGGACAGTGAGAGATTATACAGTGGGGAGGCACAGTGAGAGATTTTATAGTGGGGAGGGACAGCGATAGATTATATACTGGGGAGGGACAGTGATATATTATATAGTGGGGAGGGACAGTGAGAGATTATATAGTGGGGAGGGACAGTGAGATATTATATAGTGGGGAGGCACAGTGAGAGATTTTATAGTGGGGAGGCACAGTGAGAGATTTTATAGTGGGGAGGGACAGCGATAGATTATATACTGGGGAGGGACAGTGAGATATTATATAGTGGGGAGGGACAGTGAGAGATTATATAGTGGGGAGGGACAGTGAGATATTATATAGTGGGGAGGCACAGTGAGAGATTTTATAGTGGGGAGGGACAGCGATAGATTATATACTGGGGAGGGACAGTGGGAGAATATATAGTGGGGAGGGACAGTGATAGATTATATACTGGGGAGGGACAGTGGGAAATTATATAGTGGAGAGGGACAGTGAGAGGTTATATAGTGGGGAGGAACAGTGATTGACTATGTAGTGGGGAGGGATGATGATGGATTATGTGTAGGAACGGACGATAATTGATGGAGGAACAATGATGAATTATGTAATGGGGAGATGTGGTGATGGATCATGTTATATGAAAGGAAAGGACACTGATGGGTTCTGTGATAAGGAGGGACGATGATGGGTTACGTGATAGAGGGACGATGATGGGTTACGTGATAGAGGGACGCTGATGGGTTACGTGATAGGGAGGGACGCTGATGGGATACGTGATAGGAAGGGACGATGATGTGTTACGTGACAGAGGGACGATGATGGGTTTCGTGATAGAGGGACGATGAGGGGTTACGTGGTAGGGAGGGACGCTGATGGGTTACGTGATAGAGGGACGATGATGGGTTATCTGATAGAGGGACGATGCTGGATTACGTGATAGAGGGACGATGATGGGTTACGTGGTAGGGAGGGACAATGATGGGTTACGTGGTAGGGAGGGACGAGGAAGGGTTACGAGATAGGGAGGGACGATGATGGGTTACGTGATATGGAGGGATGTGGTAGGGAGGGACGATGATGGGTTACGTGATAGGGAGTGACGTTGATTGGTTACGTGATAGTGAGGGGCGATGATGGGTTACGTGATAGAGGGACGATGATGGCTTACGTGATAGAGGGACGATTATGAGTTACGTGATAGAGGGACGATTATGAGTTACGTGATAGAGGGACGATGATGGGTTACGTGATAGGGAGGGACGATGATGGTTTACGTGATGTCTGGAGAGGAACGATGACGGGTTACGTGATAGAGGGACGATGATGGTTTACGTGATAGGTAGGGACGATGATGGTTTACTTGATGTCTCGAGAGGAACGATGACGGGTTACGTGATAGAGGGACGATGATGGTTTACGTGATAGAGGGAAGCTGATGGGTGACGTGATAGAGGGACGATGATGGGTTACGTGGTAGGGAGGGACGATGATGGTTTACGTGATGTCTCGAGGGGGACGATGATGGGTTACGTGATAGAGGGACGATGATGGATGACGTGATAGAGGGACGATGATGGGTTACGTGAAAGAGGGACGATGATGGGTTACGTAATAAGGAGGGACGATGAAGGGTTATGTCATAGGGCGGAATGGATATATGGTAGGAAAGGATGCTGATGTGTTACTACTAGATAGGAAGGGACATGCTGAAAGACTGTGTGTGATAGTGAGGGACGCTGATGGGTTTTATAGATTGAAAGACGCTGATGAAGCATGTACATTGGTCTGCAGAGGGGAGAGATGATGTAGTATCAATTTGGAAAGGCCGCTGATAGACAAAGTATTCGAGAGGAGAATGCTGAAGGATGTATTGGGGAAGATGCTGGTGGACAAAGTATTCGAGAGGGAAACGCTGGAGCTTGTATTGGGGAGGACGCTGATGGACAAAGTATTCGAGAGGGAGACGCTGGAGGATGTATTGGGAGGAAGCTGGTTGACAAAGTATTCGAGAGTGAAACGCTGGAAGATGTATTTGGGAGGACGCTGATGGACAAAGTATTCGAGAGGGAAACGCTGGAGCTTGTATTGGGGGAGGACGCTGATGGACAAAGTATTCGAGAGGGAGACGCTGGAGGATGTATTGGGAGGAAGCTGGTTGACAAAGTATTCGAGAGTGAAACGCTGGAAGATGTATTTGGGAGGACGCTGATGGACAAAGTATTCGAGAGGGAAACGCTGGAGCTTGTATTGGGGGAGGACGCTGATGGACAAAGTATTCGAGAGGGAAACGCTGGAGGATGTATTGGGGAGGACGCTGGTGGACAAAGTATTCGAGAGGGAAACGCTGGAGGATGTATTGGGGAGGACGCTGGTGGACAAAGTATTCGAGAGGGAAACGCTGGAGGATGTATAGGGGAGGACGCTAATGGACAAAGTATTCGAGAGTGAAACGCTGGAAGATGTATTTGGGAGGACGCTGGCTGGTGGACAAAGTATTCGAGAGGGAAACGCTGGAGGATGTATTGGGGAGGACGCTGGTGGACAAAGTATTCGAGAGGGAAACGCTGGAGGATGTATAGGGGAGGACGCTAATGGACAAAGTATTCGAGAGTGAAACGCTGGAAGATGTATTTGGGAGGACGCTGGCTGGTGGACAAAGTATTCGAGAGGGAAACGCTGGAGGATGTATTGGGGAGGACGCTGGTGGACAAAGTATTCGAAAGGGAAACGCTGGAGGATGTATTGGGGAGGACGCTGGTGGACAAAGTATTCGAAAGGGAAACGCTGGAGGATGTATTGGGGAGGACGCTGGTGGACAAAGTATTCGAGAGGGAAACGCTTGAGGATGTATTGGGGAGGACGATAATGGACAAAGTATTCGAGAGTGAAACGCTGGAAGATGTATTTGGGAGGACGCTGGCTGGTGGACAAAGTATTCGAAAGGGAAACGCTGGAGGATGTATTGGGGAGGACGCTGGTGGACAAAGTATTCGAGAGTAAAACGCTGGAGGATGTATTGGGGATGACGCTGGTGGACAAAGTATTCGAAAGGGAAACGCTGGAGGATGTATTGGGGAGGACGCTGGTGGACAAAGTATTCGAGAGGGAAACGCTTGAGGATGTATTGGGGAGGACGATAATGGACAAAGTATTCGAGAGTGAAACGCTGGAAGATGTATTTGGGACGACGCTGGTGGACAAAGTATTCGAGAGGGAAACGCTGGAGGATGTATTGGGGAGGACGCTGGTGGACAAAGTATTCGAGAGTAAAACGCTGGAGGATGTATTGGGGAGGACGCTGGTGGACAAAGTATTCAAGAGGAGAATGCTGAAGGATGTATTGGGGAGGATGCTGGTGGACAAAGTATTCGAGAGGGAAACGCTGGAGGATGTATTGGGGAGGACGCTGGTGGACAAAGTATTCGAGAGGAGAATGCTGAAGGATGTATTGGGGAGGATGCTGGTTGACAAAGTATTCGAGAGGGAAACGCTGGAGGATGTATGGGGGAGGACGCTGGTGGACAAAGTATTCGAGAGGAGAATGCTGAAGGATGTATTGGGGAAGATGCTGGTGGACAAAGTATTCGAGAGGGAAACTCTGGAGGATGTATTGGGGAGGACGCTGGTGGACAAAGTATTCGAGAGGAGAATGCTGAAGGATGTATTGGGGAAGACGCTGGTGGACAAAGTATTCGAGAGGAGAATGCTGAAGGATGTATTGGGGAAGATGCTGGTGGACAAAGTATTCGAGAGGGAAACTCTGGAGGATGTATTGGGGAGGACGCTGGTGGACAAAGTATTCGAGAGGAGAATGCTGAAGGATGTAATGGGGAGGACGCTGGTGGACAAAGTATTCGAGAGGAGAATGCTGAAGTATGTATAGGGGAGGATGCTGGTGGAAAAAGTATTCGAGAGGGAAACGCTGGAGGACGTATTGGGAAGGACGCTGGAGGATGTGTTGGGGAGGACGCTGACGAGGTATGTATTCTGGAGGACGCTAACAGAGTATATATATATATTTGGAAAGCCGCTGAGGGAGTATGGGACGATGATGGAGTAATGGAAGAAATGTTGATCGCGTATATATCCAGTTGGACGCTGACGGAGCGTGTATTTGGAGAGACGCTTACGGAGTGAGTGTTTTGAGGGACGATAAGGAGTGCGTATTTGGAGGGATGCTGACGTAGTTTACATTCAGAAGGAAACTGATTGGATGTATAGGAAGACAAGTTGTGTATATGCCTCAGTATGGTTGGTCTATTGACTTTTTAGTCTTCCATGAACAACCTGAAGTGTAATTACACACACCGCATATTTAGACCCCAATTATTCTCCTTTGTGTAGCTAAACCACAATATAGATTTATTCTAACATCACTTCTGATTACAAGTTTGGACAAAGAGCATCAATCAATCACGACTTAGAACATGACTGTACCAATGTAGGCACTGAATGGCCAGTCTTACAACAGCTCGCTTAAAAATATATTTCTTCACCAAGTAAAAGATGACTGTACCAATGTAGGCACTGAATGGCCAGTCTTACAACAGCTTGCTTAAAAAATACATCATTAGAGACACATTGATGTCTCTAGACACTTGAATGTTGATGAACTGAATGGTAAAGTTGAAGCTGTCCTTGTGTCTTAAAACGGATGTCAAATTGATGAACAACGATACCGAAATACAACAATCGAAAAAATACATGAAATAAACTTATTTTATTTTTATTTTGATTGAGTTCTACCTCCATTGATAAATCTGTTTCTCATGGATGAGTCCTGCTGGGATTGAAGAATTAGGCTTACGTTATCCGAATTGATTAAATCTTGCGTTCGATCGCATTGTGACTTATGTTAATAAACTACCAAATCATCCCAGAGAACATTGGTAGAGCTTTTCATTATGTAACTACACTCGAAATATAACAATGCAGACAATCAGAGCTCTTTTTAGTAATTTTTTGATCCAGTACACAGAGGAACTGAAACACTGAAATGTTAATAGTTTTCCTGATGCAATACCGTCGATTCTTGGTGCGGAATACGTGAACCACGAAAAAAACACTGCGGCTAAAATCGTCTTGTTTTCAGTATTATCAGTCATATCTAGCATTATTGGTAACGAGTTGTACCTAATTAGTCGTAGATCAGACATCACAACTATCAGCATGCAATCTTTTGATCGTTGAAGCACAAATTCATAATGTACAAATAAAGCCATTGCTGCCTTCATGATGATTAAAAGCGATGAAAAAACAAATGAAAAACTAAAATTCAAACTGGCGTCAAAACCATTTTCAAGAGATAATAAACACAATGGCTCATTATTCCCAAATTGGTACTTGGAAAACAAACCTAAATCGATTATGACATTCTTATCGAGCGTAACACGTGCGAAGCAAAAAGTGCGAAAAAATCATGCATTCAACGGATTTAGAACAGAACTACTCTGAGTCCGTGTTCATACTGTCAGTCATGAAATTGTGACACGGAAGTGGATTTGCTTTGCACCAGTGCCGGATAGCAAGGTGGCGGCCATGACAACAAATAGTCTCGCTCACCCAGACGCTACATCACGCGTGCAGACAACTGTTCGTCCGTGGTATCGTATCGTCAAACCTGCTGAGATTACCTGAAAGAATAAATAAATAAAAAGAAACATAATGAACTAGTTAGGAACACAATAAATACAATATTCGAGAACGGAATATTTCCTTATACTTCAGGTTAAATAAATATTGTCGCCAAATATTTTGTTACGTTTGTTCACCACAATGAAATACATTAGTGATCATACGACGCTCGCTCTACAAGGCTTTGTCATAAATTCATATTGATTAGTGACCTTCCGAACAATCAAATATAGCTTATGGTATATAAGAGTGGGGAAGGAAAGGTACCAGAAACAATATTTCTTTATATTCTCGGTCAACCTCACTCTTGACGTCTCTGCAAATTACGTCAAGAAGTGCTCAAGCGTCTGTCAAATACTATAAACAGAATGACGGGGCAAGTGAGGGAAAGTGACGAATGATTGGAGAGTTAGGGGAAAAGACGAACGATTGAGGGAGGAATAAAAAAACAGACGGGTGAGAAAACAGACGAATGTGGACGGAGTGGAAAAACAAATGAATGCTGGGGGAGTTCGGGATAAATGATGGGGAGGTGGGGGCGGATAGCGACAACCAGATAATTAATAGAGAGTGAAACAACGCAATCGACTTGGCCAAATTCTTTAAAGTGAATGATAGAGCATGGTAATCTGATTAGCGGTAGCAGGAATTAGGCAACCAGTGTTGATGTGAGACGCATGAAGATTGTGGCGAAAGATAGCAGTACGTCCGGATGGTAGCACACTAGGGATGGTGGTAGGGTGAGTGGCACACTAGGGATGGTGGTAGGGAGAGTGGCACACTAGGGATGGTGGTAGGGAGAGTGGCACACTAGGGATGGTGGTAGGGAGAGTGGCACACTATGGATGGTGGTAGGGAGAGTGGCACACTAGAGATGCTGGTAGGGAGAGTGGCACACTTGGGATGGTGGTAGGGAGAGTGGTACACTTGGGATGGTGTTAAGGAGAGTGGTACATTAGGGATGGTGATATGGAGAGTGGCACATTAGGGATGGTGGTAGGGAGAGTGGCACTCTAGAGATTGTGTTATGGAGAGTGGCACATTAGGGGTGGTAGTAGGGAGATTGGTACACCAGATTTGGTGGCACTCTAGGGGTGGTGGCGGGAGAGATTGGATCATTCGCGTTAACGTTACAAAACAGATAGCGGCACATTTAAGTAAGCTTTAGTAAGTGTGAGACACCGAAATATTGATGTCTGTATATTTTGACATAAAGATTATCGTGGCAGTGATGGCTGGATTAAGGAGACACGACTTCCATTTAGAGCTAATTATTTCGCTATAATACCGGCTAGCTGACGATATCGTGGCTTGCTGTGAAGCTATTGATATCACACTACAAAATCAATGCTCTACTATAGCTCTCTCCGGAACTGTGCACTGCATTTCAAATGATCGGTTTCCGGAAACAAAGGCATCATTAGTTTTAAAATAATTTCCAAATTGAAATGCTTGCACCGACTACATTAGTGCTGCAATAGGCCGAGTGACATGCGGTTAACAGAGTCTGCCTGTACACGCCATGACTGATAGGCAATGATTGGTCGTTTTCTATAGGACTGCACGCTGTTAGAAAGCAGCATGGCTAACCTTTTAATGAAATATTTCATGTAAATACAAATTTGTCCCTTCTAGGCCCCAGAAATAATATGACAAATATGATTCAGCATGTTCATGACAATTCATACTAATACCTAAGCTTTTTAATAATCAATTGCCCCTTCACATTTATGATTCAGTACTGCCTGGAAAAAAGTTACTTAATCAGTATATATCAAAACAAAATGTCTGCATAGCTGTTTAAACCTAAATGC